GGTTGTTGTTGTTTTTTTGCGCCTCAGTATATTATATTCAAAATTACTCTCCTCAAATTTGCTGTTAAATCATTCCGAATCTCTATGTCCTTCATGTTTCCATGTCTAGCCAAGACTTCTTTAACCCCCTCCCTATACCTTCACCCCCCCTCCCACCCCCAAAAAGCCCTTTTCCCCCTGAGAATCACGCTGACAATATGAGGCCGTTAGACTATCTGCGTGCTTTCAGTTTCGATGTCGTACCATTATAACAATTTATTTCGACTGTTAGACTGAAGCATTCACCATGCAGATGCGACCACACTGTTCGTTCGTGGAAGAACGTTGATGGCACTCTTTTTAAGTGGTTACGAGCAACAATTTTGTTCCTCCATGGCTCTGTCTCAAGGGTATACAGTCATGATAGTGTCCAATAGTGGCCATGTCAGTTGAGGGCACCACCGAGGCACTGTAGACTTAGATATTATTATATAGCCCAGTTGCTTCCGCCATTGTTGGCATATTTTGTGAGTAATGATCGGAACATCTAGATAGGCTCGAGTTTAGGGGTAGGTCACATTATAAAACTTCATTCGGCATGTATGTCATTTGCACCCTCACATAGATGTATTTTCCCTCCATTTTCTCTTTATGGAAAGAAGACTGACCGCACCGAGTTCTTAAACCAAAGCCTTTGGTCAAACTGAGAGCTCTGATATTCACATACCAAGAGGAATGGGGGGAGGGGGAGGGGGTTCTGACTCGAATTTGCTCTACACTTACCTTTTGGACATTCCTTGAACAATAGTATAGAGGTCTTCCTTCAAAGAAGAAGACGTGCTTTCCTCTTTTCTGAAAAGCCAAATGCGAAAGATTTGTCATTATGCCTAAATAGTTTAAAGAAAGAAAGAGAGTAAAAACACCACTTCGATCTCCCTTTCCGAAAATGTCCTTATTTATAGTTTTGAAGCATGAATCTAGTCATCATACAGACGACAGAGAGGGGCTCTCGTGGTCGAGAGGTTACGGTGTTTGCCTATCACTCAATAGGTCCAGGATTCGAATTCGGATAGCGACGGAAAATTTTCTTTTCTAAAATTTCCTTCTTTCACCTCCTCTCCTGCTCTCTAACAATGTTCTGTCGTCTGCTTTGGTCTCCACTTTCTGCTCCCACCCCTCACTTCATTTGCCCCCTCCTCTGGACAACTGTGCGCTACTCCTTGGCTCCTTTTTACTACTGTCTTTCAGCCACACCCCTGATTTTATAGTAGGTAAGATCTAACACTTAGCCTTCCCGGATTATGGGGGGGGGGGGGAATCTAGGAGATTCTGTGAGCAAGTTTCGCACGTAAAAGATCCCTTGGTAATGCTGAAATCGATAAGAGTAGGTTACGGCTGCCACTCAGGAAAAATTCAAAATTTCTTACCAACTGAAAATGTTTTATGTGTCCGGCGCGCTCATATGACCTTATGCAATTGCGAGCGCCGTAAAACACTTACCAGAAACAAACAAAAAATACACAAAAAGAGCAAACAACAGCAATAAGAAGTCAACAAACTTACAAATAAATACGTCATTGCAGGATGTTACTTGACGACGTCTGAAATCATTGTGTAACTGAGTTCAGTCACCAAGTATTATTGCATACAGGGATCCCTGATTCATGAACTACGGTTCTGTTTAAATTGTCTTTTTAAAAACTTGAAGCTTTAATTTCGGCTTTTCTCATTGTTTTGTTTTGGTTTTTGTCTTGTTTTTCTGCTGTTTTTGAAACACAGAGAGAGAGGTAAATTCAAATGTTAAAATGCATACACTCTCGTACACACTTACACAGTTTGTTGGGGAAGCGGGGAGCTAGATCTACATCTAGATCTAGATCTAGATCTAGATCTAGATCTAGACCTAGATTCTAGATCTAGACCTAGATGTAGATCTAAATGGCATTGTAACATCTAGAATCTAGATATAGAATCTATATCTACATATAGATCTAGATCTAGAAGCATCTAATAACATTGTTATACCAGGAAAGAAACAGGTTTAAGGATAAAAACTTTATCCTTTAAAAGAAAAAAACCTAGATCTAGATCTAGATCTATATATTCATTTATTTAAAATTAATACCTGTGTAACCGCCAGTCAGACCGTCTTACACCCGGGTGAGTCTGAAAATCTGCCATTGATATAAATCAATAGTTTCCTTCATTTAAAGCCAGTTCGATGTCTCGAGCTTCGTTAGAATTCATTCATGATGTTGTAACCTTCACAACTCTGCTAACAAGCTGGAAGTTTTTGAAGTCTTTGTTTCAAGAACATTATGTATTGATGGAATCCATTGTTGTTTCTTTCCAGCGGTCTTTATTGATGACATTCTTGTGCGTGACAACCTTGGCGTTCAAAATGACGTCATAGAAGAACGCCCGAAGTGAGTTTGGGATATTCCCCGTCTGGCTCAGCCTAAGTCAATGCACAACAGTTTTAGCGTGTGCGTTGTGTGGTTTTGGTTTTGTTTGGGTTGGCTTTTTCGTGGGGTGGGGGGGGGGGACTGTTTTTGTTTGTTTATTTTTTTGTTTGTATGTTTTTTGTTTTGCGCTTTTTTTTCTTTTTTTTCTTTTCTTTTTTTTTTTTTTGGGGGGGGGGAGTGTTTTAAGGCGCTCGCAACTGCATAAGGTCATATGAGCGCACGGGACACATTATACTTTTTCAGTTGGCAATGAATTTTGAATTTTGCACGGGTGGCGGCCGAAGCCTACTCTCATCGATTTTAGACCACCAAGGGATCTTTAATGTGTGCAACTTGCCCACGGGCCCTCCGAGGTTTTTGGCCCTTGTCCGAGAAGGGTAGGTGTAGATCTTTCCTACTTAAAGATCAGGGGTGTGGCTGAAAGACAGCAGTAGTGGACTACGGCCTTGGTATGCTCACCCTATCCAAAACCCAACTACATCGCCTCTTAGTCATTCAAAATGAAGGAATGAGAACTGTTCTGGGATGCACCCGTGACACAGCAGCATCCTGCGATGAGATATCTGCTGGACCTACCAACGTTAACCCACCTACACAAGCTAGCACAAGTCAAGGCCTACCTTCGAGTAACAGTAGACGAACGTCACCCTCTACATCCGAAAATTGGAAACCAAGTACGCCAAAGATTGAAAAGAGGGTCTTCATGGATGGTGCAGGCAGAGCGAACTCTCAATATGTGTTGTGAAATCGAGGACATAAGAGGATGTGACTGGATGAGGCCGGAGAAAGCCATGAGCAACTTCATGAAGGTGATAGCTACGCTAGGTCGAGAGTGTCGTGAGTGTCCAGCAAATGCAACTAATGCGGAAATTGTGGCCATCCTTGAGGAGAATTCAGTGATGGATGATGTTGTCGTCTTCAACGACGGATCAGTGAGGCGTGGCCAGAAATCTGGGTGGGCGTTCAGTGCTCGAGTTGACGGGAAGATAATTAAAGAACAGTCTGGAGCTTACGAGTGCACTACATCGAGCATGGAAATGGAGGTCAAGGCAATAACAGAGGCCATGGAATGGATCAGCATGGAAGCGTATAAACATGCCCTGTTAGTCACAGATTCGATGAGCACCCTAGAAAAAATCAGGAATGGGTGGCTCTACAGTGACTGGAGAGCTTCCATTGCAAATAGCCACCTCCTAAGGATTACATGGATGTTCTTCCCTGGTCACGCCGGGGTGCACGGAAATGAACGTGCTGATGAACTTGCCGGCAAAGCAGCAGCCAATAGCCGAATCATGCTCGACCCACCAATGGTGATCACCAGATGCAAGGAGAGCCTTCATGACCAAGAGGAGACAGACTTCCACACGCTCAGCACAATAAAAGAAAAGTGTGGGGGGGGCACAGCGAAAAAAAGTTTGCTCTTAGGAGTGGTCAGGCGTGTCTCAAACCAGCTCCTCGTGGAGACAATTAGCAGGAAGACCCTGAGGTGGACGCTGGAAAGGAGAGATGAGCAGCTATGGACATGTGCCGCCTGCTATGATTCTAGCTCTGGATCCCAAAAAATCCAAGTAAGAAGGATTCAAGGAGTAGCGGCAGAAAAGCTGCAGAAAGAGTCAGTAGCCCATAGAAAGGGACGTGGGGGCATAAAGAGGAGACGAAAACAGAAGACAGAACATTGTTAGAGAGCAGGAAAGGAGGTGAAAGGAGACAATTTTAGAGTAGAAATTTTTCTGTTGCTACCCATATTCGAAACCGGGATCTTTGAATGAGGGGCCAATACCTAAACCTCTTGGCCACGAGAGCCCCCATGTTTGTATGTTTGGTTGTATTGGCTTTGTTTGGTTTGGTTTTGTATTGTTGTTCTTGTGTGTGTGTTGTTGTTTTTCTGTTTTGTCTTTTGTTTGTTTTGGTTTGCTTGTTTGTTTTTGCCTTCGTTTTTTATTTTTCGTTTGCTTGTTTTTTCTGTTTATTAAGGAGGTTGGGGGATATTTATTTATTTATTTATTTATTTGGGGTGGGGGTTTTTTGGTCTGAATTGTTTATTGTTCGCTTGTTGATGTAATTAGTCTATTTGCAAGGTTTGTGTGAATGTTCACTTTCATGCTTCTTTTATTGATTGCGTTCCATTTGAAAGAAACATGAAATGGACATAAGCGGAAACGGCAATAGACGATTTGGTATGGTGCTGGAGATGAGCAGAGGCATGACGACGAAAAACTGTAAATGTTTTACGTCCTTATTTTAACAGTCAGATCATTTACTACAGTGTAGTGCCGTGTTCTCCAAAGAACTGATGTTTGAGTTCAGAGAAGGGGAAAAGAAAGTTCATATTTCATTAGTTGTTCAGATGTGTTTTCTTTGTTAAACATTTGTGAGGCAGCGTGGTGGAATCAGGCTCTCGTCAAAATAATCAAAGTGAAGAAACTTGCATTTTTCTGCAGGTTTGTGAATTTTTATAAAATTTTTGTTATTGATTCAACACCTTTCAAGCCCATTAAAGAACTCATTTCTGTGTTTAATGTTCTGAAAAACGTTGATTAAAGGTACAAAAAATGTAAATTTTCAGTTGCCACGGACTCTTAAGCTAAGGTAATAACTAATCTTTAGCGGCCATTTTCTCACTTATTTTACCTCTGAAAACAGGTGACCCCCACCTCCTTCATTCGCAAATATCTCGACTTGTATTCAAGATAAATGGATATTGTTTTCATCCAAATAAAGACAAGTGAACAAGCTTTAAGATGATACCAATAACTCAACATGCCCAAAAATTGACGAGAGCCTGATCCCACCACGCTACCTCACATATTTTGACACAACCAGAAACAGGACTATAAATTAAGGCTTTTTTTGTTAAAAGTTCTGGTATTACTGGTGTTTAATTTTCAGATCACGATTAACCTCAGCGAAACATTGTTGTTTACCCACACACGTAAACAGGGCGATAAAGAGCTCAAACACTAAAATTGTCTTTTAGTTTTGCAGCGCACGCACACACACACACATACAAACACACATACACACACACACTCACACACACACTCACACACACACTCACACACACACACGCACACACACATACACACACACACACAAACACACTCACAAACATACACACACATACAATTTCTAGATTTCAATGCCGAACAAGTAAGCTAGATTCCTGCCAATATATTTTGTAGATCGGTCATCCGTAGTCAAGGACTAGCATTGAAAAACAGCTTCTTTGTGTTTATCTTTCATTACCGGAGCTAATTTCCTTTACATCTTTGCTGTTCAAACCTAGTATTTCATAAAGAGTGTTACGGAAGCCTGAACTCATTGAAGCAAAGACAAAAAAATTCACAGCGGCGTTAAAAAAGTCTAATAGAAAAATCCAGTAACAAATGACAACGAATAGATTGTGATACTCCCTCAGAAAATAAAACTCGTAAATAAAGTATTTCGCAAAATAGAGCACCACCCTTGGGAACAAACTGATGACGTAGACGACTATGATACAAAGTAGCATTCGAATCACCTGCTTGTCTCTGGAGCTTAGCTTGGTGCTCCTGGACTGATCTTTTGATTCTCCCTGCCGAAATTGTGAGGCTTCTCTGAGCTTGATCACAATGACGCACGTGCAGGTTAAAATAACGAAGAAACTAACCGTTGGACATATGATCCCGACCAGATTGTAGTACTGCATTAGCACTGCGTGGTGGATTTTGTAGAACTGGCTGTGACGGTAGATGAAGATTGTCTCGTTGAAGACAGGGTTGTACATCCAGACGATATCGTAGATACCAAATATTACCACAAAGCAGCCGAAGACGATAACCGAGAGAGAGATCATGACACCCATTGTGACTTTTGGCGTGAGCAGCGTCGATACTGAAAAGGGAATAGCGATACACAGGCAACGTTCTAGGGCCACGTATGCAGCCAAAGAACTAGACACGTAGTTAGTGAATGTGATCAGGTACACAAGACTCGGTGTGCTTAGGTTGCTCCAGCTCACCGCTGTAGCGGGCGACACCAGGCTGAGTGGTCCAGACAGGCGTTCTGCTGACCCCGCGAGGCACTTGACCAGATCCCACAAAGCGATCGTTGTCATGGAGATGTTGACACTTTTGTTGAAACCCTGCGGAACATAGAAGTGGTTTGGTTTTGGTGGCGGTTTTTGTGTTGATTCGATCAGACAGATATCTGTTATTTGGAAACTGCAAGATGGCTGTTTGTAGTTATCGATTCAGGAAGATGGCTGTTTAAGGAGGGTGTAGGGGGGGGGGAGACTACGATAAATAATCAATCAGAACTATACTGTTGCGTTGTCAGGTGATAGAAAAATCCTGTTGCTCTTTTAATCGAGTTCAGTGGATAGATAGATAGATAGATAGATAGATAGATAGATAGATAGATAGATAGATAGATAGATAGATAGATAGATAGATAGATTTGTTCTGTAATATCTGTCTGTTACTTACTCTGAAAGAATAAACATCTTTGATAACTTTTGAAGGAGGGTGGGAGAAAATGGGGGAGGAAAGGGGGAGGGGGTGATTTGAGCGAAATATTGAAAATAAACAACTTTCATAAAAGTAAATAGGGTTTTATATTTACCAACCAAACTGGTACATTGATAGATATACTCAATACAAAATTTTATACAGTTGGGACCTTGGACATCTTGAATAAGAAAAAAGTTAAAGATGGATAACTGACCTACCCCTTCATGTCTCTGAATTCGATTACATAATCATCCACGTAACTCACTTATGAAGGCATCGATTTGATTTTTCCACTAGGATAAAGTTAGGTTATTGAGTGAATAACAAACCCTGAAAATTTCATTGGAATCAAATAAAAAAAATAAAAAAGTAAATGAGAAAAACTATCAAAAATTGAAGTTTTAAGAAAAAAACGACGCTTTG